GGCCACACAGATAAAGGAGTGACTTAGGCATGACTTTGTCGTTTGCCTGTATGTTGTGGGTTGATGAATGCAGATTTGAACATGTTTATTCACAGCTTGGTGGCAGTATATTGCCCAGCTAGCGTCGTACTGCACTGCCAAGCTCAGAAACATGCGGGAAGCTGTGCTGATAGCGGCATTGAATACACGCAATGGGGCGCTACTAGACTTTTTCCACCAACCGTATTGCATAGGAAAACCGCGGTCCTTTGCCGAAGCCCGGCCCTTCAGGATTCGAGCACCCACGTCAGCGCAGCAAAGGCTGGACTGAAGAGACCGCCTGCACGGCGAAAAACCTCCACGAGGATTTGGAGCAAGACGTGATGAAGGAAGTGGATTCAGGTGTGCCCAAACATTCGATTTGCTGACGTGCCCACTCCCATTCGGGCCCGGGATTGCGAGATATATATATATATACATATATGTATTAATCTATATATTTATATTTATATTCTGGCCCGCCCTGCAGGCCAGTCACCCAGGTCGCCGGAAGAGCGACGCCAGAGTGTGAACAAAAGCTGGTCCGTGGTGCTGAGCACTGGTGGCTTCCGCTCGGAGGCGTCCTTGGTTGCTGCCTGGCAGCACGGGCTTCCCCAATGTGATGGAGTCGGAAGGTGCCCGTAGTCCCCGGATCAAAGGTGGCAGAGGATCAAGTCTCGCGAAAGTTCTGGACCGAGTTTGCCGGCACAAGTGTTCCAAGACATGAATCACTTTCATTTGGGATTTCTCAGAACGTTCCGCACCGGAACTCGTGGTCTACTGAGTTTAACCTCTGGACGGACGGTTCATGCACACAGCATTAGCTCCTTAAAGCACTTGGCCCCTTTGTGCTTTTGACCTTCGATCCCCATCCTCCGGGGCCAAAAGGTGTTACCCTACCTGCTTCAACAACCTGATTCGAGGCTAGGCAATGAAAGGACGCCCAGCTTTGGAAGACAGGCCTAGTTTTTCCCATGGGTCAAAATCCAAATCGGTTAGCCCCCAGTGAACATCCCAATCCCCACTGAAATAGGAAGCCTAAAATGGGTGGTGAATTCGCCTACCCCACAATGGTACCACCCACCCCACCACCCACCCACCCACCCACCCACCCACCCACCCACCCACCCACCCCACCCACCCACAGCCGAATTGCCCTCGCCTCAGGCTCCTCTGGCCCCGACGGCCTTGCGCCAGCTCTCGCGCGTGAGCTCCATGGCGGGCTCCGGCGAGTTTGGCAAATCTAGGAGTGTCAGGCGCCGCTGCCTGTTTCGAGGCATGAAGATAATAGACTGTATAATATTTAGTGTAGGCGTACACACACACATATGTACACATACATGTGCATATATACAATGATATATATATATATATATATATATGTATTGACATATTTTTATGGTCCCGTCCTCCGTCCTCCTACCCACCCCCCCCCCTCGAGCCTCCCCCCCGCCATAGCGCCCGCACCCTTTGCGCACTTTGGGTGGGCCGGCCCTCAACGATTATCCGCAACCTTTCGGGCGGTCGACCACAATTTCAGCTTGCCAGCGGCTCGTGTTTTAGCTTGAGGTAGGGCCTTTGGCTGTTTTGTTTCGTTGCCTGGCGCTGCTGGACCATGACTGGATGCAAAGGTATAGAGAGAGAGAGAGAGAGAGAGAGAGAGAGAGAGAGAGAGAGAGAGAGAGAGAGAGAGAGAGAGAGAGCTGCTCGTGCCAGCAACAAAGTGGGATCTGAAACACAGCGCTTGCCCCCTTGCCTCACTGTTTCTTAGTTGTGAGTCGGCTTTATTCTATGCCCTATCTGCGTATCAGTTGATACATGCAAGCTGCAGACTTTGAATTGTGTCGAGAAGTACATTCATGTACGCAGGGACGCACGTGCACGGAACGCAGGATGTGCGGTTCAATCAAGGATCAGATTAACAAAGTGCCAAAGACTATGGCGCCGGCAGCTTGGGCCAACGCAGTGGCTCGCTACAATGACATCTTGGTGCATGGCAAGCGGCGCCGTTTCCCAGAGCAGATGCTATTGGGCGCAGAGAGCGTGTTGGCCAGATTGATCCATGAGAGGTCAGTGAGCAAGCAGCACCAGCCGTTGGGCCTGGGTGAAGTGGTGAGCCGCAGGTCGTTCACAGCCACAGGAGAGATCAACCCGTTGTCCAAGAGAGCCAAGTCCAACAAGCTCACAATTAACGGAAATGTCCTCAAGAGCGAGCCCCACGAGGAGTGGGAGCCCAGGTCAGTACTTGCCATAATGGATGGCATTGAGACCGTCAGGTGGTCTTACATATTCACAGAAACAGGTGAAGAAGAGGATGTGCACAGATTGGCTGACGCATTGCTGGTGAAGGTGAGGACTCAGCCCCAAAAGTTGCAGTCCTTTTGCCAGTACTATGATGCACTGGCCTGGAAGTTGTGCTTGGGCCTCAGGTCCGGACGGACCTTCAAAGAAATGGTGGACGAATTGCTGCAGGACACTGCCC